AAAAAAAAAAAAAAAGTTTTGCCCAAAGTCACCGAGTGAATTAGGGGTAGAGGTGGAACTAGAATTCAGACCTCATGGCTCCCAGGGTTGTATTCTCAGTACCTCAGGCACTGGAGTTACTCCGCACACTGGAGTTCCCTGCCAGTTCTGTAATCTCATTTTAAGCATATTTGGTTGTCTTGTTAATTAGGATTTGTGATGATGTGATAGCATTTATAACAAACTTAAAAAGAAAAAGAACTTTGTTAGCAAAATAACAAAAAATCAGAATTTTACTTTCTGGCAGGAGAGAATGTTGAATTAAAAGCCACCATCAAAGTAGCTTGAAAGGCTATTAGTTAATGGATATTTTTGATGCACTGGCATCATGCTAAGATTTACAGGTGTCATCTTATTTAATCGTCACAGCAATACCGCGAAGTGAATATTCTAATTTCAATTTCATTCATGAAAGTGGAAATCCAGGCACCGAGAGGTTGAGTAACATGCTAAGGGGTCACATGAGTATTTTGTGGGTGAGGCTAGGACTTGAAGCTAGATCTTTCAGAATCCAGTGCAAAGAAAGAAGAGAACACACTCTTTCGAAATACTTGGGATATGACTAAGCTATCATAAGCAATGAATGTGTAAATCACACATAATTTTTATTTTTTCATTAAATCAGGTACAAACTCTTTTGGGGCAATACTCTTGGCAACACTTGACTAGTTCAATTTAGGTTGTTACATAAAACTGAAGGTAATACTACTGAATTATATTAAAATGTTGGGCATTTCATATTTTTCGCTAAGTCAGCCTAGCCAGCTTACCATTTAACTTCAAATTACTTAGCTTTTTCTACAGAATAAAAGTCATTTCATATTTGGTTCTGGAATATATATACATGGGAATTCTCTCCTTCCACTCATTAAAAAAAAAATGACTGGGGGCGCCTGGGTGGCTCAGTCGGTTAAGCGGCCGACTTCGGTTCAGGTCATGATCTCACAGTCCGTGAGTTCGGGCCCCGCGTCAGGCTCTGTGCTGACAGCTCAGAGCCTGGAGCCTGCTTCAGATTCTGTGTCTCCCTCTCTCTCTGACCCTCCCTCGTTCATGCTCTGTCTCTCTCTGTCTCAAAAATAAATAAACATTAAAAAAAAAAATTAAAAAAAAAATGACTGTGATTTACTTTTATTTAGGTTCTAATTTGTATTCCAGGCCCAAGATCATAGTAGGCAATGGGAAACCCTGATCTTGGATAGATCCTCCACCAGTAAGATGGAGCATTGGTCCAAGTGGGCACAGGTTGGCTTTAATGCCCATGGGAAATGTCAGCCTCATCAGGGTCACCTGAGGGCTTGTTAAATACATTGCTGGTTCCACCCTCCGAGTTTCTGCATTCTCCAAGCTCCCAGAGGATGCTCATGCTGCTGGTTCAGGGACCCCGCTCTTGAGAACCGCTGGCATAGAATGACAAAGAGAAATTGCTGATCAGATCAAACCATTTATTTTTTTAATCTGTCATAAAGAATGCAAACTTGGGCAGGCCGCGTCTTTGTAGCCAAGTCTGAATCTAGATGAAGTAGATTTCTTTTTATAACTTCCTGTTAATTGGTTCAGATTTAAATAAAAGTTGAATAAGTATTTGTTAAGAATCAACCAACGGTTTAGAAACTAGGCCAGATGCCTTTTCCTTTTAGAAACGTCTGTAGGTTGGGCGCCTGGGTGGCTGAGTCTGTTAAGTGTCCGACTCTTGAATTTGGCTTAGGTCATGATCTCAGGGTTGTGAGATCGAGAGCCCTGTGTTGGGCTCTTTGCTGGGTGTGGAGTCTGCTTAAGATTCTGTCTGTCTGTCTGCCTCTGTCCCTTCCCCGCTTGTGCTCTTGCGTGCTCTCTCTCTCTCAAAGAAAAGAAGGGTTTGTAGGATGATGGTAAGATTTGTTTCAACATGTGGGCAAATAACCTCAGTCACCTGCCCCAATACTTTCATTGAGAGGCAGCTGCAAGAGGGCATGGCAGGCAGAGTTGCAGGGGCATTCCCACAGACTCTCTGTCACCTTAGGAGAGCAGCACTCGGGCTGATTGGCAAAGATGTCCGTGCCCTGCATTCCAGAAGTAATTCTTTTCTTTTTTATGTTTATTTATTTATTTAGAGAGAGAGAGAAAGATTGTGAGTAGGGGAAGGGCAGAGAGAGAGGAGAGAAAATCCCACGCAGGCTCCATATTGTCAACTCAGAGCCCAGTGCAGGGCTTGATCCCACGAACGCTGAGATCATGACCTGGGCCAAAATCAAGAGTCGGATGTTTAACAGACTTAGCCACGCAGGACCCTCAGAAGTGATTCTTAATGTGTGTTTTGGCAGCTTTGTCAGCAATGATTTTAGATCTTTTGAAGCCCTGGGTGTCCACCAACCTTGCTGGTGGATTGGCACGGATCTTAGCACAGCATTACTGTGCGCACAATTTGAACAGCACATGCACCAAAATGCCTCTGGCAGGAAAGCTCTGGCTCTCCAGACCACCTGGGATCTCCAGCCCACTCCACAGGAAGCTAACGGGCCCACACAGTTCATTTCCTTCTTTGGGGTTCTAAAGAGAATGAGAAAGGGCTAAAAGTCCTCAGGAGGCCACCAACACCAGAAACAGATGTGTGTCGGCTGTTAAAGTAGCCCCTCCCGACCATTTTTTTTTTTTTTTTTTCTGCAATTTGGAGACTACAAATCAGGGTTGGAGGAGAGATGGAATCGTGACTTTGAAGCAGGATTAAGCTTCTGAAGGAACTTGGAGAAGCTTGCCACAGCTGTGCTTGAAAAGTTCCATGTGGACCCCTCACTCTTGCCATGGACACAAGTGTGTTTGTTACTAGTGGTGGAGATGGCTTCTTCCCCTTTTTCTTTAACTGAAATATCTCTCCATGGTTGGTGTACGTCAGTTTTACATTTTCCTAAGAAACATTTTTGGAGGGTATTCAAAAGGGAACATGTGACTAACAAGCTAGCTCGAGTTGTAGGGGTAGTGTCCTCAATAGGGTTTTTCTTCACACACCTAGGATGGGGGACAAAGGACACAGCCCAGAGAGAGAGAGAGGACCAAGAAAGGAAAACGAACTCAACCCCATGAACGAAACAGAAAGATGACGCGCAGAGTCAGAGGAACCCAGCAGCCTTGGAACAGCTCTACACCCTTCTTGAGAGCAGTTTGGCAACACATATCACAAGCCTTAAAAGGTGTATATACCCTACTCCTTAGACTCTACTTCTAAGATTTGCCCTTAGGAAACAGTGCAGTGAGCGGGGCATAGACACCGGGATGCTTACTGTAGAATGTTTATATCAGTGAAGAATGGGAAATGAGCTGAAGATCAGTCAAAACAGGTGACCTAAATTCTATAGATCTCTTCTGTAGTTTGTGGTCATTAAAACTTCGTCTGTGAAAAAACACTTAAATGATGTGTTCTGTGGCTGAGGGTAAAACGTTTGGTTTAACAGGGTGATGGCAACATTTCTTTCTTTTTTTTTTTTCTTTTTTCTTTTTTTTAATGTTTATTTATTTTTGAGAGAGACGCAGAGTGCGAGCAGGGGAGGGGCAGAGAGAGAGGGAGACACAGAATCTGAAGCAGGCTCCAGGCTCTGAGCTGTGAGCACACAGCCCGATGCGGGGCTTGAACTTAGGAACTGCGAGATCATGACCTGAGCTGAAGTTGGACGCTTACCCGACTGAGCCACCCAGGTGCCCCTATAACGTTCTGTTTCTTTATTTCAGTGTTAATTACATGGGTGTGTTGAGTATGTGAAAATTCATTGGGCTGCACCTTTATATGTGCCTTTTACTCTTTAACAAAAAGTAAAAACATAGTTTCATAAGTAGGAAGTAAAATAAGGTAGATAAAGTTAAATATGTTTCATACTTCATATATATGTGGGTACATGTACACACACACACACACACACACACACACACACACACACACACACATAACTGAAAAAAGACTCAAATAGGCTCCAGAATGGCAGCAGCTTATCTTTAAGTGGTGTTATTATGAATCAATGTCTTGAATATGTTATTGTTAATAACCTTCCAAACTTTAATAACTAATTTTTTAAAAAGATGGTCAGAGACGTGGAAAGCTCCATACCAATACAGACACAAGTCAAAATCCCTTCTCTAGGACTCACCAGCTCCTCTGAGTATGAATAGCTCCCACTGCAGGGCTACCAGCCAGCATGTCAGGTACCCTGGCCCCATCACAGTAGGGGGATAAAGGGGAGGGAGAAGAGGGAGGCACGCACTCTTCCTCAGCTAAGTCTGGGGATCAGATACCTGCCTCCTGAAGCCCACTGCTCTGTCCTTCTAGATATGGCTCTTGTGGAGGCTCAAAATAGGCAATGAGAAGCATCCACATCAGTGTCTGAGGTCTCCAGCTGGGCTCCCACTATTGCAAACTCAAAGGCACAAACGAGCTGGAAGCCAAGGCATGACGGAATCATTCCAGGCGAGGAGACGGCTTCTTTCTAGGTGAGGCCAGATTCACTTATCACTTGGGTAGCTTACCCCAGAGGCTCACAGCAGTATGTGGACTTCTCTATTTGATATCTCTCTGGGTCCCCTTGGAGGTGGGAAGAGCAATAGATTGGCACCTGATGGGGGTTTTCAAAGGGCAAAATTTTCCACTTGATTTAAAAAAGGAAGGCTAGAGACAGGATGGTAATGTGATAGAGGAAGTAGCAGCAGCATTAACAGCTAAAATTTATGGATATACTTAGGACCAGGCACTATCCAAACACTTTATATATATGATCCCATTTAAACCTTGCAACAGCTCTGAGAGGTAAATACTATTATGATTCCCATTGTAAAGATGAGATAAGCAAGAGTTGAAGACACCAAATAACTTATGTAGGATTCTAGCCCATTCAGCTGACTGCAGGTCCCATGCCCCCAGGTACCACATAGTAAGACTGCTAAAGATGAGGTGCGCAAAAGGGAAAGCCTGTGAGCTCTGTTGGGTGTGCTCTTCAGGGTGCCCTGAACGTGGGGCAAGAAAGGGTGAGATTATAGGAAAAGGGAGGAGACTCAAGGAGTTATTAAGATCCTTGCTCTGTGAGGGAGCTCCTTGTTGTTGAGGAGGAAACAACCACACAACTGTTTTTGCTGTGATGTGTAATGGAAAGCATATCGACTTCGACTCAAGCCATCGCTGTTTGCACAACTTCATGTCATCTCTTTGATCTTAGTTTTCCCCAATCATAAAATGGGCTTAATTAAAGCTACCCTGCAAATCTGTTACAAGGTTTGGATGTAATGTGGGCAGACTTGGGCATGGTAACTGGGACATCATAGGTGCTGAATGAATAGAAGTTATTGCGGTCCTATTTCCCTATGCCTGGAGTCAGTGGAAGGAGAGAATCTTCAGCCTCATGTGGACAAGCTAATGAATGATGACTGAATAGAGAAGGTAGGGAAATAAAAAAATGAAACAGAGTGCATTTTCATTTTGTACTGACATTGCTTTCACGTGACCTAAGTCCCTACTAATTAATATTAAATTATAAATAATACTCAGTATTCCTGGAAATTGATGGAACTATAACGAAAAATAATGCAGAAGGAAAAACAGTTTCCTCACCTCACAAAACATAGGCAACTTTTTGGCAAAATCCACCACTCTGGTAATTGCTGGTGTGATGATTTTTGTAAAATGGCTGAAGGCTTCCAAGTCAACCTTTCCACCTTCTGGGGCATTTACTATTGGTGCTTGTCCAATATCTTCTGGCTAAGGAGGAGAAACAAGAAAGATTTAAATGAAAAACCTGGAGGATCTTTATTTATCATAGTTCTCGTGTGGCAGAAAATCTCTTCTGAGTGGACATACTCTACAATTTCTAGTTTTCACTTTGCTTATTAACAAACTATGCAGTTTCACATGGTTCAGTTCTCTGAGCAAAGATATAGGTGTTGGCCATTGCTTTGATAGCCGCCAGTGATCATGTTGACAGGATTGTTGCCGCAGAAATAAAGAGAGAGAAAACGAGAGAAGAAGGGAGCCAGAGAGAAACAACAGGAATTTGGGTTCTGCTTCTGAATGCGCAAAGGATGCCGGGTGACATATGTGCTTGGGGCTCTGGGGTAGCATTTTCAGAGCACTGAACATTCTGGCGTATGTAGACTGTGATGAATGGGATGGGATGAGATGGGATGTCCTGGCAAGTAGCACCCTGTGGATTCATTCTTGCTTTTGACCCAGCTGCTGGGGCTCAAAGTTCCTGTCTGCTCTACAGACTCCAGTAGGAGGAGGTCTCAGTGGGCTGAGGGGAAAGACCTCTGAGTCGCCTACAGGAACTGAATTGTATAAACTTGGCAAACTTTTGGGCAGAGTGGGTCATTTGCCAGTGTCTAGTGTCTCTGGAGCACTTCTGTGTCATTGACTTGCCCAAGAACAATCCATAGCCTTGCTAGTCAAAGGGTGGTGTGGCAGGTTGGGTGTCACCTGGACACTTGTTAGAAACCCCCCCTCCCCAGACCTAATGGTGCAGAATCAGCATTTTAGCAAGCCTCCCAGGTGGTTGTGCTTGTGTTAGCCACCCAGTTGTCCATTGGCACCCCCTAGCTCCTTAGCAGGGCGCTCAAAGACCATCACGGTCTCATGTATCTGCTCTTGTCACCTGTGTTTCCTGCCAGTAATAGTCCTCTCTGTTGTCTTCTCTTGTTGTGATAATCATGACCACTATTTATCTGTGGCCAAGCAAGCCAGCCCCTTTAAGGGAGCACATTATCTCAAGCAGTCCTTACACAATCCTGATTGGCAGATGAGCAAACAAAGGGCTCAAGGAGGTTAAGAACAATCCCCTGAGGCCAGGACTGGGATATCGGTCACCCAGACTCCACACACCAATCTGCCAGGAGCCCCACATCTACCCCCTACTTTGAAGTTTTAATAACCTGTACACTTTTGACACCAGGGGGCAAAGTTCTACCACTCTTAATATTCCCCTTACTAGCCTTTCCCACTGCCTTCCTGGAAGTTGTGAAGGTCATCAAAGGGATTAGAGATTCACACCTGCCTCACGACCATCTCTGTCTAGAGCCACAGTGAACAGACTAGAACCAGTCATCCAAGGTTGGGAGGTGTGAGACAGTGGGCAGAGGTGGGCAGGAGGAACGGGCACTATGAGTGAGTCAAGCAAAGCTGAATCCCTCACTTGCAGAGTGGTGGGGGCACATCACTTGTGACAAGACTGTGGCCTACCTACCGCCGTGGTCCCCAAACATCCCTGTATCAGAATCATTGGGTTGGGCTCCTGTGTCCAGAGTTTCTGATGCAGTAGATCAGGGGTAGAGTCTGGGAACAACCTGAATTTCTAGCAACTTCCTGGAGCAATGGTGCTGGTCTGGGACCACACTTTGAGAACCACTGGGCTGGCAGTAACTGCATCCAGCTCAGAGTAATCCAGTTACCATTTTCTTTTCACACGTCCCCAGTCATTGCTCACATCTAATTTTTAGCACAAAGAAAAGCAAAGGATGATTCTTTTACTGACTTGTTTCCAGGGCACAAGGGTCAACAGGAGCAGCCCAGGCCCTCCAGGGGTGTGGTAGGAGCTGTGGTTACAGCCTAGGGAAGGATTTTAAAATTTATTACATAGCAAACTCTGGCAGCATTGACCCTTTTTGGGTTATCCAGTAGGTTCTCTGTTTATTTTATTTTACTTTTTTGGGGGGGAGGGTGGTTTGCTTTGCAGGCAGCAAGTGGGTGGGAAAGGGACCTAGTCTGTCATGTTATCACAGTCAGTGATGATGTTTTGGGGCAACTGTTGGCATGGGGAGCCCATGGGAGGTTACTGTTCTGCTGGCTTTCTGGATGCAGACAGAATTGATGGAATAACCACACGTACAGCTTCTCTCTCTCTTTCTCTCTCTCTGTGTTTCTCACGTAGACTGGGCTAAGGGAAAAGGCACATTTGGGCACTGCTGTTCCTCGTATTCTTCACCTCATCGGTCTTTATAATTTCTCCCACCCCAGAAATGAGGCTCATCTCACCTGCTTTGTCTGTCTGTCTTATGACTCTGTCATGAAGATCGACTGATAAGAGGGACATGGTCACACATGAAAAAAGAAAGGGCGTTTTATACACATACACACACATAAGGTGAAGTTTTTTAGAAATAACAATAAAAATATGTTAATATTTTTAATAGTTTGGCCTGGTTGATTCCAAATGTCTTGTCATTGAACATGATAGATCTAATCTGATTTTATTGAATGGCATTCAGTGTCCTTTGAAAGGTGTGAGTCAATACTGATGTTAAAAATTTCCATTTAATCTGTGAGTTCACGGGGTATTTGAATCATGCCTGTGATACCTCTAAAAGTTTGAAAAAAGGGGGGAAATTATACAAGGAAATACAGCAATTTTAATTAAAATTAACCCCCCAAATGTAACCACCTCACAAGCTTTTCTGTTGAAAAATACATATCAGGGTAGGAAAAAAATGTATTTTTAAGTCTTTGGGTATTTAATGGAAAATACAATTGCTAGAAGTAAAATCATATACAAAGTAAAAGCTTTTTATTATTATCAAGGGTTATCCCCATAATGGATCTTGGATACCGGAAAATATACATGGATAGATGGATAAATAGACAGACAGACAGACAGACATAGTCTATGAATTGACCTGAGTTCACCCATCAGGTACGAAAAATTAAGGTTGAGCAATGTAAATTTGTCTGTGACATCCCTAAAGGTTTTTCACCCATATGGACAACAGATCATTTGCTGCAATATTTGGGAGATGTTAAAAACAGGAGTACAAATATTCGACATCAGCTGTATCTAATCAGATATGTTAATATAGCTGGTAGCCTTGTAATCCATGACGTGAGTTACATTTGCTCACAAGCACACACGTGTCTGCACTGAGAGCAAACTCAGGTACTGATGATAAGCCTCGGGCTTGCAGCTTCACCAGCGTAGGCTGTGGGCAAAGCCTGGTTTTTGCCCGTGTGGCACACACTGCCTTAGCTTGCTCATAGGGTTGTTGCCAGTTCTCCTTCTGACTTTCTTCCTCCTCGCCTGCCCTCATGGACCTCCTGTGCCAGCTGAGCCCACCTCTCGCCATCTGCTCCCCAGGTGGCTTTGCACTGCTGTGGTTTGGAGCTGCCTTTCCTCTGACTTGTACTTTCTCTGAAGTCCCTGCTTCCATCTTATCTTGGCCAATTCCAAATCCCACCCCACTCAAATTCTATTTTCTCCTTAAAGTCTTCCCAGATCACCTGTGTGAAATGATGCCTTCCTCACTGGAACACATACGGTGGCTCATGTACATCACTCATATGGCATTTAGGCATTTATTACTATTATATTGCAGTTATATAGGCTCACAGCTAAGATATGGATTTCTTGGGGGGGGCATAAGCCCTTAAGTATCTTTGTCTACTTTGTGGAAAGCATTGGGCTAAAAGGTGGAGGACAGAATGCTTGTTGGTTGGTTGAGTGAATAAATGTAGGTTTATATTCGTTCAACTATGCAGCCAAGCCTAGTTCTAGATGCTAAGTTACATCAGTAAACAATGCATCCTTAAGGAACTTTCACTGTAATTGAGGGAAGACAGGCAATAAACAAAAACAGTACTCTCACAGAAGAATTTCTGTCTGTGATTAGACGGAAGGTGACATGATGGTATGTAGGGGTCAGGAAGCAGATGGGCAGCCCAGGGTGAGAAGTGACGTGTGAGCTTTAACTGGAAGACAGCCCTCCACAGATCCAGGGGAAGAGCATTTAAGGCAAAAGGAAAACCAGTGCCAAGTCCCAAGGCCAGAAAGGAGGCCTGTGTGCTCAGAGACTGCACGAGATGAAGGACAGAGGCAGGTAAGGGTCCTGTGATGCTGGGCCTTGTGGGCTGTGGGGAGGAGACAGGGTTGTGTAGTGCAGCTCCACTGAAAGGCTTTGAGTAGGGGTGCAGTGGGATGAGACTTTGGGTTATGGTGCAGAATAGGGATACGGGAAGCCAGAGGAAGAAATGGGCTGGCAGCAACAGCCTTTTGGGTAGGAGATGAAGTGGGCTGGACTACAGGGCAGCAGTAGAGATGGAGAGAAGCAGAAGAACTCCAACCTCTTCTGGGAGCCGGACACAGGGATTTCTGATGGACTGGATGTGGGGTGTGAGACAATGAGGAATCCAGAGTGTCTCTTCTTGGGCAGTGGAGGAGGTGGGGGGCCCAAAGAGAGAGATTCAGGGGTTTGCAGGGGTGAGCTTCAACTAGCTCAGTGCTAGAGCAGGCTGGTGATGCCCAAATGGAGACTAAGTGCCTTTCTGCTTGGACTGTTCATCAGTATTGTTCAGGTGAGTGGCAGATGCTGCCACTTGACCTCTTTGCAATGGCTGGCCAGAGCTGAGGACTTCTTGGCTTGAACCTGCAAACTCTCTGGCACATGCAGAGTGGGATGGGGCCAGACAGGACTCTCCCCTTTCTCTGCTGATCACAGCGTGTCTCTTGCACCTTTGTAAGGAGGGGTGGGAAGACCCAGACAAATGGTGATTAAACGTCCCTCGGCTTTGAGATATTACTACAGGCTCTCCATTTTCCTGGGATGAGCAGGGATGGGATGTGAGGATGGGGGTGGTAGGGATAATGCACATAGGCACCACTAATGTGGTTGTTCATGATATGCCAAGCACTTATATCTATAACTTTTATACCATGTGGTGTAAAGTCACTTGAGCCATAGAGGTGAAGTAACTTGCCCGAAGTCACATAATTAAAAAGCAAC